TAGAGATCCCGCTAGAAGGTTTGATAGGCCTAGCATTGAGTCTCATGTTATCGAGTGGGGCACTGTCATCGACGTGTGCTGGTTTGAGACGATCAATGCCGACGATCTCGATGCGGCCATGCCGATCAACCTTGAAGGTCTTTTTGTGACGAGAGATCACGTGAAAAGGTCCTTCGTAAGGCTGTTGTAGAGGTTCGCGTACCGAATCTACTCGTATGAAAACATGTGAACAGGTAGATAACTCTCGAGGGAGAGCGACCTGTCGATGTTGTATTCGAGTTGACACCGGAGACAGCGTTCGCATAAATGCAGACAGTCTATGGACGTAGTCTGATTTACCGAAATCATTACTGCTCCGTGGTGTGAAGAATTCCTCAGGCAGACGCAATGTCGTGCCGTATACAAGTTCAGCGGCGGAACATTGGATATCTGCCTTCAAACTCGTTCTGATGCTTAAGAGAACGAGCGGTAAGGTTTCGTACCAATTGTCGTTTTCGTGTGCTCGGAGAGCACTTTTAAGTTGGCGATGAAACCTTTCGACTAAACCATTCGATGCTGGATGGTAGGCGGTAGTGCGTATGCGTTCCGTACCAAGCAGCCTGGTCAGTGAGGAGAATAATGCAGACTCAAATTGTTGTCCTCGGTCAGTCGTGACAGTCGAGGGACAACCGTACAATGCTATCCATCGTTCTACGAAGCGGTGAGCAACTGTCTCCGCCGTGATAGACGTGATGGGAATAGCTTCGGGCCATCTTGTAAAACGGTCAATGCACGTGAGTATGTGATCATACCCATGCGATGTTGGCAATGGTCCTACAATGTCTATATGAACGTGATCAAAGCGAGCATCAGGCGTAGCGAACGTGACAATTGGGGCAGCTATGTGCCTGTGCACTTTTGATCGTTGACACTGTAAGCATTGCTTCACCCACATACGAACATCTTTATTCATGGACGGCCAGACGTATCGCGCTGCGATGAGGCGTAATGTGGCTGCGATACCTGGATGAGACAATCCATGAAGTGCATCGAAGACGAGACGGCGATAGGTAGAGGGTACGATGGGTCGAGTAAGACCGGTAGAAATATCACATAGGATAGTACCTGAGCTAGTAGCTAGGGGTACTTCCTGACACTGAAGGGACGAAGATTGTGGTGCTTCTGTACAGACAGGATCGTTTGCTTGCGCGGTGGCCATAGTAGGAAGATCGAGCACCGGTAAGGTAACTGCATTCGTCTGGATACGTGAAAGAGCATCGGCAACATAGTTCGACTCGCCTTTAATGTGACGAAGGTCTGTCGTGAACTGGGAGATATAGTCCAAATGTCTGCACTCTCGTGGTGAGTAGCGGTCAGACTTGGTATGCAGGGCATACGTTAAGGGCTTATGGTCGGTGAATAAAATGAATTGGCGTCCTTCTACTGCGTGCCGGAAATGTTTGATGGCGCAGTAGGCTGCAAGCAGCTCGCGACCAAAAGCGCTATATCTCGTCTCCGTGGGAGTAAGGCGTCGTGAGAAAAATTCAAGCGGTTGCCAACTACCGGAGATATTCTGTTGCATGACGGCTCCTATAGCGAAATCTGATGCATCAACCGCTATACTAAGCGTGGCTGATGGGTCAGGATGAGCGAGAAGTGTAACTTCAGCGAGAGCCATTTTGATCTCTGAGAATGCAGTACGTGCGGTATCGTTCAATTCTAATTTGCGTGGATTACCGCGTAGTAAATCGGTTAATGGTCGTAACCGTTCTGTCGCGTGAAGGATAAAACGTCGGTAGAAGTTAACCAAACCGAGAAAAGCCCTCAGTTCCTTGATTGAGGACGGTACGTTGTACTCCTTGATTGCTCGAATTTTGTCCTCGCAAGGCAGAATACCCTCTTGTCTGATGATGTGACCCAGAAATATTATTTCTGATTCACCCAATTCACATTTTTCTGGGTTGACTACTTTTCCATTATCCGAAAGACGTTGGAATAATAGCGTAAGGTGTTGATAATGTTCATCTACGTTTGATGATGCGATCAGCAGGTCATCAATATAGACGTGAACAAAATGCAAGTCTCGTACTATGCTATCGATAAACCTTTGGAAAGTTTGAGCAGCATTCCGTAATCCAAACGGCATTCGTAGGCACTCAAACAGACCGAACGGAGTCGTGATAGCAGTTTTTTCGATGTCTTCAAGAGCGACTGGGATCTGGTGATATGCTCGTACCAGATCGATTTTAGAAAAGATAGTCGTGCCGTTGAGCGATGCCGTGATTTCGTGTATGTGGGGGATGCGGTAGCTACCAAAGCGCGTAACTACGTTTAATGCTCGGTAGTCGCCGCATGGTCTCCAACTAACCCCATCCTTTTTGCGCACCATATGTAAAGGAGAGGCCCAAGGACTGTGAGAAGGACGAATAATACCAGCAGATAGTAAATTGTCAAACTCACGTTTAGCGAAAGCTAATTTGTCCGGTGCCAGTCGGCGTGGTCTTGCCGTGACTGGTGGTCCGCGGGTGACTATGTGGTGTACCACACGATTGGTCACCGATGAAATCTCCTCCAATGGTTTAGTTATTCTGGGGAATTTCTCGAATAAAGCGTGGAATTTATCGTCACGCGAATAAAAAGTGCGGAGGATTCGGTACGCGTACATCGGAGTCTATTATATTAATACTATTCTTATCGTTATCCGTCATGTCAAATATATTATATATTAAATATTAATATGAAAATATTTGACAGACGTGGATAGATAAAACAATAGACTCACCGAATTGCCTTCTTTGAAAGATTTGACTGAGGTTGAGGTGTGTTCCAATATTTGGCTCACCAAATGTAGCGTGGTGTCGAGTTGAGCTTGACTATGAACACCGCTACAAGACTACGTGCCAATAGACCAATAAGATTCCGGTAGGCCAAAAATCAGAAGGCAGATGATAGTAGTAGTCGTAATATATTTGTTGGCAATCTCGTGGTATCGAAAGAATACCGAGATCGTGCCAAAGGAGTAAAGATGCGATCGGCAAGAAAAGATACGTGCGTAGTCGAAAAACGCGTAGAAGCAATGGAATACAATGGAAGACTAAAATGGCTGTTATTAGCACAGTTAAACAAACGAGCACAGTAAAACAGTCACTGGTACAATTGGTTATAATAATAATTGTTTTCATCGAACCAATCACACTCTGTTGACAGAAGTAGGTCACTACACGCTAAAAATAATTGTTGTGGAGATTTTGTAGAAGTCTCTCGTTTATAACTTTAATGTGGACATAACCTAGCTGCTGGACAGACTGATTATTCTAAGGTTTTTAGATTTTTTTGTCATTCATATACATGGCATTGTGATATTCACATGCATTTTTTGGTATACTTGGCGTTTAAACGTGTCTGTTATCTACTTTGTAATTAGTCTACCATAATTTGCACTTTTCAACATAAATAAGGATTGGCTATCTCAGAGCACATTAATTGTCACTAGATGCGTGTAGTGTCAGTGAAATATCACAGAGTCCTAGACAAATCATTTAGCAGGCGGATCTGTAAATGTTAAAATGTTTGGCTGTTCCGGTCAACGTTGAGGACAGCTAACGTAAATTAATCAGTTAAATCTGTCATGAGCAGTGTCATGCGGCATTCGTTACATCTTGTACTCCAGTCAACTGTTAATGCTACTGGGATGTATGCTACATGTGTTGTCTCATAAGCAGCATGTAGCATTAGCAAGAATTGAAACACCTCTCAACAGAAGATTGAAATGAAAAGGACAAGAAGGAAATCAGAGAGAAGTCGAAATAACATTAGAACTATGTGAATTATGTGGGTTTGTATGGTCGCCATTATTTACTAAACCTCTGTGCAATTTTTCACCGAACATTAACTTGGCTTAACCTACCTGAGTTCTCGTTTGTTACAATAGTACATGCTACTGCTCATCGTGATTATTGATCCTATTATTAAGACAGCATTTTGATAGTATTTTGGAAAAGTGAGACTTCAGGGTAAACTTGAATGTCCCACTACATCATTTCAACTCGAGGAGGCACAAAATCATCGAAAACCGACAACTACGTTAGAAGCAGACATTAATATCTTGAGTTAATATTACCGAGTCTCAAGTGAAAGACTCGAATTCGCTGAAAGTTCAGTCTTTTATTTTGGTGGCTCTGATTGTGCAACACAGTATCGATGTACTTATTAACTACCCGTTCCCTATACATCTTAAAGTTATATCGGTTTAGTAAGCGGTCAAGTGACAAGAACATTTAAACAAATCACTCAACGCCGACCAAAGTAAGAGTTTTCGCTTGTGTAATACAGGGTTCAATGTTAGAAGAAGTGGGGAAACGGAAACTAAGCGATTCAACAGGACATGAATATGTACAAATGAACTTCATAAAACAGTGTGTAGATGAATCATTTCTACCAGTTTGTCACTGGTATGGAGATCTGTGAACCAAAAATAGTACAAATGGCTTATCAGCTCTCCAATACTCGAATGGTTTAGAACTGAGTCGCCAGTCACAGGACGATAGCATTCTTCAATTTGTTCAAATGTCCAACTAATAATCGTCTGAAAAAATTCACTACTAGTGATCAAATCTTCAAGTATGTTCAAGACAGTTTCAAGAAAGCTATTTCACATGTCTCACGTATCATTTTGCTGTGAGATTATGGAATGAACATCAATGTCGTAATGCACTATTTCATGCGCAACATCTTAGTCTGCCTGAAGCTTTTAACCATGCAGTGGGCTTTTCTACTCATAATTATGTAAAAAGCGAGCTACATCTTCTTTCTTAATTCCTGTGCGTATTTCCACTACAAGCATTCATACGACGACTCGGAGACACATCTACTGTTGTTCGACCTACTGTTTATCATATTGTCTTCTTTTCAATGTTTCTTCAAAGGAGATGTTGCTTTAACGTCCTCAGAACACAATGAGTCTTCAGGCTAGACAGAAACTGCTTTATTAGTATACTAAAACACCGTGAAGTTATTGGACATTTGATTCTATGCGATCCACACTTAATTACAGACGCAACTTTAAGTTAGTATGTAGCAGTAATATCTAAGTGGGAAAGAGTTGTGTAAGTATTTTTACGAATGCATCGGTATTCGTTGTGATCCAACCAAACTCATGTTTGCTCAGATTATTTCGCCTAAAGGGTCGGCTTAATATTTATTCCTGCAGCAGAAACCATTTTGAATTTAATGCCGTGGGAATCTTTGAATTGTTTATAACTTCAAGGTAAACCCTGGAATTTTCATGAGATTTGGCCGATGATACAGAAAACCACTTTCAGGCAATTAGCCGGCGCACATGCTTTGATGATGGTGATATGCTTTGATGTAAACCGTTTAAGTAGAAGCAGTATGGTGATATATAAGTTTCAGTTTGGAAAGGACAGGAGGCTTGATGGCCTGTGTTAGTCCTGGCAATTGTGTTCTCTCAGTTGATCCAACTTTCTTTTGAAAGAATCTACGGATGGAGCTTCAACCACGTGTTGAGGTAATGAATTCCACTCGTTGATGATTCGGTGGGAAAGTCGATAATCAGCTGACAAGTAATTCGTTCTGGGCTTGTGAACTTTTTTGGAGTGTCCTCGTAAATTCTCTGTTTTGGAAGACAGGAAAAATGAGGGCATATCAGGTGCAAATTTATCACTAAGCAATTTGAAAACTGTAATCAAGTCGCCTCTAGTTCTACGATATGACAAAGGGAATAGGTTTAGCTTGGCCAGTCGAGCATCATACGGAAGCTTCGCTATTACGGGAATCAGCTTAGTTGCTGTTCTCTGGACCTTTTCTAAAAGCTCACTGTCTTTTTTTAAGCAGGGGCTAGCCGCTTGTATGCAGTACTCAAGTTTGGGACGTACGAACACTGTATACAAAGTCAAAAATATTTTAGCGTCGACATGAATAAAAGCCCTATGTATTGACCATAAAGTTCTAAAAGCTTTGGCGGCTGTTGCACGGCAGTGTGCAGTAGTCTTTAGATCTTGGCTAACGATGACTCCTAAGTCATTATGTGTCACATAATGATTGTTAGCATATCATTTTACAAGATTGAACGGCTAATGTCTAGTTCTCTATATTTTCTATTACTTCAGGTGACTAATTCATTAGTACATGGTTTTTATTCTCACTCAATTTAATTCTATATAAGCAGTAAATTACTAATACCAAACTTGAAAGCAAAAAATAAGTCCGTTATCACTAAATCGAATAATTTGTTTGTAATACTTCTAATTGCTTCATCTCATACTTTGTATTTTATTTAGAATTTTTGTCGACTGAGCGATAACTTTACCTTTAATGTCATTGTTTACGGGGTTGTAAACTTAAACATGTTTCTTTTGTAAATCTCTATCCAGTGTGGCAGAAAACTTTCGCTTCGACAGTTCCGTCACCTTGTACATAGTACATCTGGCCTTAGACATGGTGTGGACTATGGTTTGTGAATTCGATAAAAGCAATATTTTAAACATATAGAATCGAATAAATTCAGCCGTAAAAAATAACTATAGTCGTTACTTGATACACTGCAAAAGTTATTTAAAAGAAGTCTTAAGTTCAGGAGTACTGGGTGCTGAGGCAGCCTCACTAGATATAATTGAAGTAAGCCAGCTTTTTATCTAAAATTTTCAGTTTTGTTGGTGTATAAATGTTTTTTTTCCACAATGGTGTCCTCTCTAACTATATCGGGGTGTGGCCCCCTAAGGGAACCACCTGCTTCGGTTTGGGCACCCGGGCAGTATCACAGTCCTCACACAAATCAATTGAGATTCGTGTGGCGCATATGTACTTGGTGCCTCCTTGTACCTATACTTATGTGTTAAAATAATAATAATAATCTCTAACTATACGTCCTTCTCCGTGTCTTGGACTTCAAAATGCATTCAGTTTATTAACAGTGCACTAACTCCAATGCTCAGGTTGTCGATCGGCTTTTGTGTTTAAACCATAATCTGCTCATGGTACTCAAGACATTTCGGAAACACCGATAATTTTCACTTGACTTACAACTCATCGCACGATGCTTCACACAATTGACGACTAATCCTACGAATTCTCAGTATCTATCAGTACTGTTGTCGAAATTTCTATGTCTACTGACTGAGATACTGTATATTTTGTAGCCGCTTTCTTACTAGTTCACTTAAAGTTTATACCCCCTCAATTTAGTTCGTTAACAGCGATCATTAGTACTGTGTTTCATCTAATAACCACCCGTACTGAAACTTAATAAGTAGTTGAAAGAAGCAAGATTATTAACTACGGCCGAATTTGGGGGTAACACACCCAAACATGTGGTCTAATGAATCATAGATAGATAACAGATAGTTCTACACTCGTATGAGTTTCTGCTTAAACTGGTCTCAGTGTCAGTAAGTATAATGAATGTAAATAGTAGCATTGAGTAAATATTGGAAGTGACCAATTACTGGAAATATCACACCACCATTTTGTTGATAGGAAGTTCAGGATAAAATTGTATTTACATTCGTTAATTTCTACACTCAGTAGTAATCATCTCACAAATAAGATTATGATTTGAGTCTTCGAAGAACTTCAGCGTATAGGAAGACATAAATAGAGCGCTCGAATTCTCGTCCGATCACCGCAGTTAAGCAACGTCGGGCCCAGTCAGTACTTGCATGGCTCAATGGCCCAGTAGGTAAAGCGTTCGCGCGAGACTAAAGGCCCTGGGTTCGAATCCCGCCACTAGTTCAGATCAGAAAGCAATTAGGGTTGGCTGTTTTTATTATTTATTTATTTTAACACATAGGTATTGGCACAAGGAGGCACCAAATACATATGCGCCACACGAATCTCAATTGATTTGTGTGAGGGCTGTAATACTGCCCGGGTGCCCAAACTGAAGCAGGAGGTTCTCTTAGGGGGCCACACCCCGAGCCTTCGACCTGAACGTCTGACCCACAAGGCAGTGGAGCATCGTAAGGAGATGCAGTCTCATGGTAGCCGGTGACCAACGATTGGTTCATACACCATTTCTTCCTTTATGATACTGGAGCCAATGTGCACCATTGGTTTGGGATCCGGTTAAAGCGCTGGACATTCGCTTTTCGTCCTCTCATTTTCGTAAACAACACCCCCGCCACGAGAAGGCAGTGAGTAGGACTTCCCTGGCAGAGGATGTGTACGCGTGGCCATGTGAGAGCATTTCGAGAGGGAGAGCGGACTCTCCACACTCTCGGCCGTACCAGGGCATTTGGGGGCTGTTTTAGAAAATTTCAATATCGATGTCTGTTGTCTATCGAAGACCCGTATTCAAGACTCTAGTGAAGTACCACAAATTCACTCCATCTGTCTCTTCGAAAAGCTTGTTTCACGTGCGTTTATCCGGGTTATCTGTGGCGTCTTCGTCTGGTTATGCTGGCGTTTGTGTCTCAATTATCACTAGAGCTGAGGTAACACTAGTGGATTGGATCCACATTAACAGTCGTTTATGTGCTGTTACTTTAGAAAGTTCCATCAAAACACAAAGAAATGGGTGGCGACTTTCTGGTTAAGGAACTGACAACGTTGTTTACAAAGGTCTTGGGTCTAGAGAGTGTTCCAACGTCATGGAATGAGTCGATAATTGTCCCTATCTTTAAAAAGTGTTCACGCCGTTCCTGTAACAACTATCGGGGTATAAGTCTACTTCCGATTGTGTCCAAACTATTGGCTTCTGTCATACTTTATAGGTTGTTCAAAACCCGAGAAAAATTGACTCGCGAGGAGCAGGCTGGTTTTCGTTCTGGTTGAGAATGTGTCGATAATATCTTCACCCTCCGCTAAATGTTAGAACACCGTCATACTTATGAATAACCAACAGTCGTAGTGTTTCTTGACATCAGAGCCGTAGGTATGGTATGTGCTTTGCATCATCCAAGTGCAAAGTACTTTATCAAGACTGGCTGGACCCTGAACCTGCACTCTCTTCTGTGTAGTGAGCACAAAGAAATGGTCGAAAAGTTAGTGTATCTGGGTAGCTGCATAAGCGCTGGTGGTGGCGTGAGTGATGAGATCAATTCATGACTAGTGAAAGCCAGAGCGACTTACGCCAATCTGGGCCATCTCTAGCGCCTTCATGATGTCAGTCTGGCTGTAAAAGGTCGGATCTACAGCGTGTCGGTGAAATCAGTCTTGCTTTATGCTTGTGAAACCTGGCTTCTCTGAGTTGAGGATGTTAGATGACTATCTGTGTTTGATCATCGTTGTCTCCGATGGACTGCTTGCATCCAGTGGCAACACCATGCTAGTAATACGGAGTTTCTGCGTCGTGTTTTTGGGTACAGCGACGATAATTTAATGAATGTCACTATCTTGGGACATTGACTTCAGTTACTGGGATGTATCCCATGAATGTCGTCCCAGAGAATTCCACGTCGCGCACTTTGCCAACACGAACTGGTCGAAAAAAGTGGGGATGTGGTCAGTGTATGACGTGACGACATTTTATGAAAGAAAGCTGTATAAGACTGTCTTCTGTTGGTCTTTCACAACTCACTGGTTGAGTTCCTAGAGATTATGCAACACGGCTGGAGACGTTATCGGACAAGGTTCAGAATTGAAGCCAGTGGCTATCCTGTTGTAACTTTCTATAACTTTCTTAATCAAATTCATTGATTGTAAGGATTCTTTCTGGTTATATTTTTGCTAAATGAACTGTTTAATTATTATTACGCTCTCGTTGCCCGTTGTTGTTCACTTATTATACATACTCTATCTCTTCACAATCTCATTGCTATTGAATGGCTCATATGTATTTGGTTCCCCCTTGTACCAATGTTTATGTGTTTAAACAAATAAATCTACCAGTTGACATCCTGTTCATCATTGTAACATCTAAAATGTTTATAACAAACAGAATGCCTAATTTAAAAGCTGTTAAAGTTGTTAAGTTTTCTTAGGAATTAATTCGTGTACATACTATGCAGTCACATTATTTGTAAATTGTGGAATTATTCAAGAATCGCTGTTTCATAAATCTGTTCTTCCTATTTTCTATAAATTTTAGCTTATACCTGGAGATAAGTATGCCAAAATTGATGTCAACTGTAAACTACCAGTATATCATGGCTCCAATAAGCCTTCAATTAAACAAACACCTACCGCATTGGCATTTCATATTCAGCAGTATATGAATAGTGGAAGTAGTGAATTGAGGTAGTTTGCTAATTCTTATACTGAAAAATGCACTTGGTTACCTTTCCATAGATCACTTTTGCATAAGGGTTATCCAAAGATGAAGATTCCTGTTTTTCAGTTTTTTATAACTGAGCAAACCTGTATAGTGAGTGTTTTTACTGTACGTGTTTTTATTTTTATGCCACAGACTTTTTTCTTCATGCATATGTTTCTGCTCTAAAAGGTTGCGTATTGATCTAATACAGTCTCAATCTAAATATGTGTATAAACACAGAAACTGAAGAGAATAAAATGATATAGTCCCTTAATATCCTTTCTGTGTAAGTAATGGAGGATATTAGCCGGTTGTGAAGAATAATCGACAACAAGCCACAAACTTGTGTTTCTTGCTGCTTCCCGTTGGTCATAAAGATGTGTTTTCAGAATGTTCAGTTATCATTAAGGTTGGTTGTTGCATTACAATTGAATCGATAGGATTCACTTAGAACTAAGAAGCAAACAATCCAACATTGTAAGCAAAGATGGATGGTGCCTAGTAGTGGAATCCAGGACTCACGTTTTGCCCTATTTGGAACTCGTCAGCTAGATGTACGTGCATCCCAAAGTTGACTCGAATCTAGTACCGTCCGCTTTAAACAGCCCTACGTTATCCACTTAGCTACTGAGTCCTAATAGCCACTAGCTTGTGCAATAGGGTGAAGTTTCAATTCATTTTTGTATTGTTTGTTTGAGTATCTCATTGCTGGGAAGGCCCAAAAAAACATTACAAAAATGAATTAAATCCAACATTGGTTACGATTTAGTAATTAATTATTGCAATTAATAGAAAGCTGTTTAAATATTATTATGAAGCCCCAGATCATTTGTATGTGTAATTTTTAACTACGCCTACAAAAGTAATTTCCAGTTTGCATCAGAACGTCTGTGACTCACATTACATTTTTTCTAAAAGTAAAGTCTTGTTTTTAGCTGTACTAACCGAGCCACTCTTTCACAGTGTGATATGTAGTAATGATGGTCAGGATCTTCTAAATATGTAGAAATTACCTAGCATCAATGACTGGTTTCATACTAAACGTTTTAGAAGTAACATTTACAGGTAAACGATTGTATATATCACTTGCAGTGAATTTCTATTACATGTTCGTGTTGTGACTTTAAGTCTGGCTAGTTATCACGTGATTTATTCGCCAATCGAAATACGACTTATTCAATCTTAGTATTGTGCTAAACCAATGACGTCCGACCGGTATGAGCAGCCTATCGTCCTTATTGATCCTTTGTTTGCCTAGCCTATCCAGTTGAGTCCAGAACACCAATACGAGCTTCCACTATGAGAATCATTTATTTCAAACATACTTGACTTATAAACTAGCCAAACAGACGTCATCACACCACAAAATAGGAAATAACATTTATACAAAATCAAGCCAAAAAGATGCTGTGAACGTGGAAGACGGTAATTAATACACTAAATATAATTTCAGAATAATAAACCGTATAATAATAATTTATAGGCCAGAATAAAGTTCGTAATAAGGGGAATATCGATATACATAATCTAGTTACTGAACTGTTATACAATAGGAATATATATAATATTAGTCCATTAATAGTTCTCAGAAGTTACTCAATTTAATCATCGCTAGGATATAACATTTCGTGATTCGGTTTTTGAGCACATCATTTCATATACCTTAGCTCCGCTCTACATCTAAATGTTATCTATATATTTTCTAGAAATCACATATTCACGTACATTTTCAGAAATTTATCTTCTGTCAGGCAGTTCAATAATCGACTTAGAATCCACAGATTTGGTGACCATTGAGCGAACAATCCTTTGGTTCGAAATAGGTTACTAGGCAAAAATAACAAATCGTATAGTATGGTTGAGCTCTTTTATCAACAAGGGTGTTTGGAACTTGTTACGTATATCGAAATGCCACCTACTTCAACGCCAAATGTTGGCAGGTGTAAGAGTAAGTTGGAAGAAAACCAGTAGAAGCAGTTAGAGAATGATGTGACATTAGATCATGAAATCACAAGCCATTCGATTGGTCTGTTGTGATAGATGCAAACTACCTGGTTGTGTTTTGTGCGACGCAGATGTATTCATTCCCTATCTCACTCTAGGTTTCAGGCTCCACCATCCCTTCATACAGACCTTTTCATCCCGTCTTCTCGGACTATATTCCTAATATTATTCTTCTTATAAATACTACTGCATTATTTTGGGTCCTTTTCTATTCATATTGTTAATTTTACTTCATCTTGTTGATGTTGCATGACATTGCGAATAGTTATTTTGTGTATCTGATTCTAGATTACTCTTGGTGTTTCCATTTCATGAGTATTTTGGTGTCGAATAGTGCGATAAAAGATACAACAAGAATACTTAACAAAATAAATAACAATAGCAAAACCATATATTTTTAAAACGTTATCTTTCTGTTCATCAATATACGTAGTCTTTCCAATTAATGGGTGATCTGATGTTGTAACATTTTACAAAATTATATTTACATCGGTCTTTTCTCTTACAAAATACTCTTTGTGGTAGTAAATTTATCCCATCTCTGTTTAGATTGATTTAAATATCCATAAAAGTCCTCAAAAGTAGTTAGTCTTCTAACTTATCATATTCTTTTACATTTGGAAGTAAAATGAATTCACAGAAAGCTAAGTGTAGTAAGTTGGAAAAGTGATCTAACATAGTAATCAAACTATTAGATAAAGACTGTTGGACAATCACTGTAGAATATGCAAGCAACTGGTCTCATATTTTTTGGATAGGCCATCTACTTACAGGGAAATCACAGTTTTCATCGATTACTTTCTAATTAATAATAAATCATCAGGGTCAGGTCAACTCCAAGCGATGGTATATAAGTACATTGTGAATGGTCGCTTGCTTAGTCATTTCCATAACTAACAACTTTAGCTGCCCAGTTCACGTATTTAATAAACAGAGACTACTTATGCTTACATATTAAGCGTACAATTTATTTTTCTTAATTTATATTCCTCATTATCATTCAAAAAGTTATCTTAATTTGCTTCTGTGCATACATTACTGAATTAGGTGAATGCTCCTTCAAATGATTCAGAACATTTACAGTCATCCAGTGATGTAGTATGTACTGCTATTCCAGCATGTATCAAACCTAATAATGTTTATGGGTTGGAACGTGATAAACTTGTTAAAATAATTAATTCAAGATTGAAAGTGATGAGGAAGAAATCTCATGCTTTAGAGCCAAGAAATTTAGTACGTTATTGTCATTTGTATTTTTATTGTTGTGTATTGACTGTATGCAAAAATTGGCCAGATGACAAAATCTATCTGGTTTGCATAGATATCAAATAAGTGGAATTCTTATTGTTATATGATCACTAGTGACTACCTCTGAGAGGAAAGTTCCAAAGTTTTAGTGAGAAGCTGCTACCAGTGGAGTTCAACCGTGTTGGTGTAAGAGAGTTATCCATCACCAGGCAATGGGTGAAGGTTGTGCAATATCGTTAGTTGGTTGAATTTATACATCAACACCGTTGGATGCTGATTCAGTGGTCTAAATTTTATTGTTGTTATTATTAATGGCGTTCTCGTGCAAGGCCGATGGTCTTGGGTTCGAGCCCTGTGTGCGGAGTTGTGGGTGTCACTCCTGAGGAGTCTTATACCTGGACGGTATGGTGGTTCAGTGCTTCTAGGTTTTTAGTAATGGTCTAGCGTTAATGGGTTCATGATTTCAATGAAAACTTGTCTTGTTGTACAGTTTGGATGAATTGAAATTTCTTACAATTTTCTAGACAGTTCGATTGTATTGTCGTTCTTCACATAACAGGTATGCTTGATAGTTTAATCTATAAACTGGAATGATATTTTGAAGTCATGCTATTCGTTATTTAATTATTCGTAACCGAAAAACGTAACCCCGGTAGTTGGGAAGATTCAAAAATAGGAATTTAAAAGAAAATGTCTCGTAAACATTGCTTAGTCATATTATTTTGGTATATGAATAATGTTGATATCCTCCTAGTATTCAGTCTTTTGATCTTCTAGTAGTGCATACAAATAATATTTTGCCCTTGGAGGATTTAACTAACAAACATACAGTCCTTTGACAATCTTCAAAAAAAAAGCCGCAAACACCTAGTGTTCATTTTGTAATTGAAAATTACAGTGATACTTGGAGAATTAAATGCCAAATTCGAAGATGCAGATTCATCAGATCTGGTATGCTAATTGTCATTGAGATCAAATAGATCTTGATAATCCAAAAATGTTATGATCAATATGTTAGTTAGTAACATGCAAAGTAGAATCCTGTGCATCTATGCAATGATTCAAGTCCCTGGACCATATCACCACAGGTTGATGAAGTTATTAAGATGAGTACTAATGTAGTAGAAGTAGTAGCTAGTATTGGTGATGGCAAAAAAGTAAAACATGAAGAATATGTGTCAAGAAAAAATGATCGGATTGTAACTCATTGGTTTAATCTCTATACTTTCGACCAATAAATCATAGTTTCAAGTCCTATTCCACAATATTTATGGTTCAAATTTGAATAAATAGACATTTACTCAGTTGGTTGTGTACAATCCTAAATCATAATACTTAGTAACTTCAACTTAATTTATTGTCTGGAACAGGTTTACTTTACATTTTGGGATTGATCTAAACTGCTTACTTGTGATAATACTTAATATAGATATTAGTTTTTGTAGCCTTATTGGATATTAGAAATAAATTGATCCGAAGTTCAGGATTACATAGTTGGGGTTATTTTACGCTTATTCAGTTAGTCTAGTGATGAACAATACAGATAGTTCTTGAACGATTTTGAAATCTCAGCGTCATTCCCACTATTAAGTAGATGACGAGTAATGGAATGACATCTCGTCTTAATTTTTGAGGAATATGCTTATTAATGCAAACGTTAACTTGCCTTTCTGTCCTCACAATCTATGTGCATCGGGATGTACTTGTAAATTGTTATGCACAATTGGATATAACGTATAGTGAGTATTTGCCTACTTTTAAATGCTTGAACAAGCATTTTGTTCAATATATGAATGTAGACAGATTCTAGCACATATGTGCATTAGCTCAAGTTTGCATACCACTTTAGTACTATGAGATGATTTTTTAAAGGGGAATAGCAAAGGAATTGAATTAATGTGAAAGCAATTATTATGGGAAAGATTGAATAAAAAAAATACGGTGAAAATGTATATCTTCATTGTCATGTTAATATATGTTCCCTCTGGTTCAAAAATATACTGATCACCGTTTTAGGCCTTAAGCTTGACCATAATGTGATTTGAATAAGTTACTATGTTAAATTTTGTCTAATTTTAACTTAAATGACTCCAGTCAATCTACCTAATTACCTTAGTTTTAGGTTCACATTAATACGATCTTTTTTTGTAGACAACTTATTCACAAAACCGTCTTATTATTTTACATCTTTTAGATATCTGATGATTATGAGGAGAGTGATATCGCTCCTGAATCTATAAAACAGGATCACACTTCCATGATTGCATGGGCAAAATATTGGAAGGAGAGTCAAGATTGGCGAGCTATAGCTAAACGTGATAGAAGACTTCGTCATCAAAGTACGGGATTAGAATTTTTAACACAAAATCAAAAGAAGAGTAGTGACGTGGAAAATTGACATTTGACTAAACATTGTGTAAATAATACTCATTGAGATCTATTTCTTCGAGTTGTTGTGTTTCCTTCAATAGAAAACGGACAATATTCTCTTTGTTTTAAACATGGTATATGGGATATGCAGGGTGTTACTAATAAAGTACTTCTAACAGCATTCGAGATCACCTTGTTCACGATCATATTCCATCGGTACCTAGCTTCTTACTTAATTATTCATCTGGTGTACTGAACATTCAAAAAATCATTTTCAAGATCTTGTTGTTTTATTTTCACCGTTTATTAATACTGACTAAACGTAGATCACACTCATCTGTTCGTCTTTTCCTACAGTCAGCTGTAATTATCTCAGTCTTACAGAAGGTCAGTTTCAATCCAGATACCTTAGTGATAATGTCTAGGATTGTAAACAGGGTAACAAGGGTTTCGACTCTCATTGGGACTGTCAGTTCCGTCATGATTATAAGTAGGTCTTCTGACGATTGGTAAGTAGCATGAAACCTATGTCTAGGACTTTTTGCCAACTACTTCCGATCAGTTATGACGTTTTTTACTGTATGTTAAATAAACCAAATAATACCAGATAGGAGTTTATTAGTTACACTCTGTTTTGTAGGTTTCTATAAAGTCGGTTAGTTGGATATTGCCAACAAGTTTTTAACTATTAAAATGATAGGTTCATCGAGGCCTTTATATAACTTGTAAAAATTAATGCAAATAGTATCGTTTTTCAAAGGATCAAAAAGATTATGGAATATAGTATATCTTTCCGAAAATTAATCTTCACACCATTAAAAATTGGGGAGTTAGTATCTGTGAGCTTACGTATTGCTCAATGATAACATTCAACTCATCTATCGCATAAGGATTAACGGCAATGTCTATCCACCCAAGTCTCAACATGCTAGTTTTAGACGTTACCACAAATAAGTGGGTTAAATGTCTACTTTTTTACGAAATTTGAAACCGAAGTATCTTTACCGATGCTCGACTGTATTTGCATTCATTGGTCTGAACGTAGTTTCCACCATGTCTGACTAGTTTTGTGGTAGTTTTGTCCACTTCCTCCAAAATCGAAAGTTGTATAGTTATGTCATTGTCTATCTAAATTTTCAGCAATTTCTTCCCCCTTGAGTCATAGTATATCAGTCCTATACTATCCGTACTCTATGGGAATCGAATTTGATCGCTTTTAAACGGAATATGTGTGATTCAGTTACACGAAATCAATTTTCCACATCTGCTTGATAATCTATGTTCTGTATAGGAATCTATTTAGTAGGGAAAACTATAAATTACCCACTTTGGGGAAATGAATATGAGAATCACTCTTGATTTAAGGATAAGATTTGCAAAATAAAGACGTTTCAGTGATGATGATCTCCACGATATAATTAAGTCTATGCAGTCGTGTTTACGGTTGGTTTTTGTGTATAATGAGCATGGTGTCATTGGCAAAGGTACTTAAAGTAAACCAGAATTCTAAGTCATGTAATGGTTATATTGGCTACTCAAGGCGTACTATTACTAAACACAAATCCGAGCACTATCAAGGGTGGTTATTGAAAAATGTATGGAAATCCGCTAACAGCACAGCTGTTGAGTAACTGGTCATTTGTCTCTACGAAAATCCTCATTAAAAATTATTCTTAAGGTAAAGCGAACTGGTGCATAGAGAAGCCAGATAAAGGACTTGTGTATTTCGGCGGCTTTGAGGGTTCATCATTTTAATTCGGATCTTTGTGCTTCGAAGCCTTAGCGCCCCTTCAGACTTTGTAGGTTGTTTTTTTTTGACATATGTTCTTCATCCTCCTATATTCTTAAAGTGTGAAACTATCTTCCAGATCCCTGTTCGATATGTTATTTCAACATGTGTTGCAATATTTCTATCTTCCTTATAACCTTCAAGTAGATAATCTGCTATATCGCTCCTAAACATTTTGTGATCCGTATTACCCTTCGACGATTAAATAGCTTCAAGTCCTGACTGACTGCTATCAATGATACAACAATCTTTTATCCTCACTATAGACCATTGTATGCACGAAAAATAACTATGAATACAGCTGTAAAGCTCTCTTTTCACCGAAACATCTTTGTTTTTAATTACTCTATTAGTCTCTCATTATTTTTCATAGAATTTACGGTACTACTAGATCAATGAATAAGTAGCATAGGAAACGAATCTAACCGTCTTGAAATACTATACAATATGAAAATCGTTTGTTCACTTCTTTATTATTGAATAAAAAAGACGTTGGATTAAGTTTAAGATAACAAATAAGTACACAAGATGACTGAGTGATTTCTTAAAAAATATATAAGTATATAAAAGGCACTTCCATAGTTTTTAAAAACAAAATATAATATAAAACAAGCATTATGGAGTTTTCCTACATCACATTGTTAACGATTGAACTTTAGCTATGTACACATTCATCTTGTATTGTCCATATGATGAGACTATAATTTATGGACGGTGTTTAGGCGACGCTAAAGTGACCTTGGAAATGTCCGTCTACTAACTAGGACTAAATGACGGTTACAAATCAGTGCGAGGAATTAGAATTATGAATTACTGTTGATGGATAGGATTAAGAATTAGATTTGGAGTTTTCATCACAAACTAACATCAGCTCAAATGCCAAAATGCTATTTCGCCAAATAGATGAATGAATTTCGCTCCAAAATCCAAGACCTGTTATCCTAAATCTGAGTGGTTCTTTCATAAATTATAGTCTTGCTTCCACATAGTTTTCTTTTTCTTAATTCAACAAAATTTATGTACAATTTTCTGCTGATTTGATAATGTTTATGAATTGTAGAAAAAAACGATAGATGATTTGTCTCTTTTTTTGATTATTTATTTACTTCTTCTTACGATAGAAATTTGTCAATGGTTTCGATGCTGCACGAGCTGCACGTTGTTGATATGATTGTTTTGATTCACGATTATATGAATCATATCCCTGTGTAAATGTATTTTGTGATTGTTGTTGTACTAATCCATTGAATTGAATATTTCTTTCTCCTCCTCCTACATATGAATTATTTAATTGAACTTGTGATGGAAAATCTAATGCAGTCAATAATTCTGGTGGATTATTCGATTCTGTTGTTTGTTGGAACATTGAATGATTTGTTATTGGATTTTTAGTACGTTTTAATAAGCTTAAATCAGTTTTAGATAATTGATATGGTGCAACATTTAATAAATTTTCTAATAAATGCATTGAATATGTATACCAACGACGTTCAGTTTCACTTTCAAAATATGGTTCATTATATGGTGTTTTACGTATAAATTCTTCACAATTTTCAACAAAACTACGTACTAAACTTGTTGCATATAACCTCCATGTTGTTTTTTCTTCATGTAGATTATTTAATTTAGCGATAATTTCAGCTGGAATTTCATCATGTTGATTGTTATCATTCTGTTAAAGAGATAATAAGCAGTTTAATTATTTATGATTTATATTTTAATCATAAATTGATATGAACAAGTAAATTATAGGTGAATGAAGGTGCTTATATGTATGCCATGGGATACGTGGACGAAAACGTGTGTGCTATCATTATTTATATGACTTAAACTTGACCTGGTGTGACGTTTGCCCTCCAAAACTCAGGGGGGGTTCTAACAATTTTCTTTCACATTCACATCGTCGCGGTAGGTTTGTGAGCCTTGAAAGATGGATTTCAATTCCAAAAATGGTACTCAAGCGTTATCAGATAAAGTTTGAGCAACATTAAATGACTGAGACACTAAAGTACACAAGATTTATCTTGTAATACACTATGTTCGAAGCATTGCTCACTTATGGTCAAAGTACTAAGTTAATAATAGAGGTTAAACTTAACGTTCCAATCAGATGTGATATCTCGATTAATAAGGGTACATACCTTCATCTACTAAGAAGGTCAGGATATTTATTTTTTATATCTAACTACCATCCAATGCTTTTTGAAGTATAAGTAAAAATGTAGGGGCAGTTAATCTATTAGTTCGTTGATTGCTACCTTGAGCCATATCAATAGACCCAAACTTTATGATTGGAAGCTACTTAAAACTCACGATTAATGATTGGCGACACCTGATGGTTGTTGTTATTTAAAGTCATAGGGATACATGCATGAGCACTTATCTATATGTGACACTCATCTACTGATTTCCTTCCATTACTCCTAATGTCTAATGTTGTACCCTTATTTCTGGACTTAACCCTAATTGTGTTAATTCTAACCCGACCTTACATTTTAACTCAAACTTCTAAGCCTGAATCCTTCCCCTTCCCGGGAAAACATTCATATTGTTCATGAGTTTTTACTTCATATACTTTTTTTATTTCAATTTTTAATCATTCAGAATTATTATCAGAAGGGGTTTTGTAGATATTGTGGTTATTTTAATAGTTGAGATCATGAGTTAATTGAAGCTAGACTATCATGAAAAACCTGTAAGTATTGGACGGCCATTCAAAATTAATTAAACTTCATCTAATTAATTTTCATTATCATTGAATATTATTAAAATAAATTAATTTCATTAACTTTTCAATTATACTTATTATCTCATGTTAATATAATACAACGAACTCCGCCTGGATCCCTTTTGAGGCTACTAGCGGTCCCAAGCCCGGATAAAGGAGTATGGTTGAGCATAGAGTTAGCAACCCCATCTCGTAGAAAACTAACTCGCTAAAGAAAAACGCTAACCAGAAAACAAAAATATATATATATATATAATACAACTAACCTGTAAATTATTAAGGTTTTTTCCAACTACTTGTTCATTAGCTAATCGTGCAATAATTAAATCTTGTTGTTTTTTCTCTTCTTCTAATAATTTTTGTCTTTGTAATAATTCTTCATGTGTTTCTTCCCATTGTTTTTCTTTTTTTTCATAATTAATAATTTCATCATGAAGTTTTTTTATATCATTATTTATATCTGATTCTGACATAATTGTATTCCTTTGTAATAATTGACTATTACCTGTAAATGATTTATATTCTGTACTTAATATAGAATTACATTGATCAGTACCAGTTTTTAATTTATCTAATCTACTTATACTATTTGTATGATTATGATTATGATTATTATCTACTGTTAAATTAGGACTATGATAACTACCATTTAATTGTATTTCATCTAATTGTTCGTTAAGAAAATTACATTCTTGTGTTTTTAAATCTAATGATTGTTTAGTTCGATCTAATTGCCAAGTGAGTGCATCGACTTCCGCTTCTAAACGTTCACATGCATTAATTAATATATTGACTTGTTCATCATGTGTTTGTGTATTA